GATAGTTTTTTTGTTTTGTTTTTTTAATCCTCACCAGAAGACATACTTATTGTGTTTAGAGGGGCAGGGAGAGGGAGAGAGAGAGAGAGAGAGAGAGAGAGAGAGAGAGAGAGAGAGAGAAACATTGATGAGAGAAACCTTAATCAATTGCCTTCCTATAGGTGCTCTGACGGGATTGAACCTACAATTTAGGTATGTTCCTGACTGGGAGTCCATCGGAAAACACAGATATTTACATTACGATTCATTAACAGTAGCAACATTACAGTTATGAAGTAGCAACGAAAATAATGCTATGGTTGGGGGTCACCACAACGTGAGGAACTGTATTAAAGGGTCTCGGCATTAGAAAGGTTGAGAACCACTGACTTAGAAGAACTTAAATTAGGAGCCGTGATGAATCTATACAGCACAAAAACGTCTATTCACTAAGCATCTGTTCTTGTCAACCTGCAATGATCCTTGAGGTCCTTAAAGCACCCAACCTCTCATCCCTAACTCGAGATGTCTTCTACCCCTCAGTCCCCCTTGCTGTCTCTGAACCTCTTTTGCATGTGGGGTCTCTGACTCTCTTAATATACATGTATTAAGCTTGGTGAATTTCTCTTGCTGATCTGTCTCATGTGGGTGTGATTTTAAGACCAGTCAGGAGAACCTTGAGGGTAGACAGGCTGTTCCTCTCCCACAAACCCAAAGATAGTAAGCATGCACCACTCTTAAAACCCTGCATTTCGAGATAACAGGGACTCGTGGAGTTGTTTGGCAAAAAGAAGTCACTGGAGGAACAGGGGGGGGGGGGGGGGACAGACTCTTCAGGACTGGGGAGGGGACAGAACTCCCAGGCTGGGTGTGTGGAGGTGCTGGGGGGACGAGCAGGGGCTGCTTCCTCATTCTAGAACGGACAGGAAAGGTGTAGCCAGAGATCATGCTTCCATTTCACCGGCTGGAGTTATCTGCTGGGTTAACGTAAGTTATCTGCTGACAGTGAGTATGAAGAGGAGACATTTGTGTTTCAAACACAGGCCCATCTCTCAAGATCAAAGCTGCCGTTTGGCAAATAGGATAGAAATTTGCCATCACCAAATTATATACAAGGGCCTTACGGAACATTTGTATGTGTCTACATTACGTCCTAAAGACAAATAACAGAAGTCATACTGGCCGTTAGAATTCTGGTTGCCTAAACCGGGCACTCAAACCAGCTTAAGCAGGAAAGGGAAATGCAGGATCAGGTTACCCTGGTGACCCAGGGGGGCTGGGAGCCCAGGTGCAGCCACGAAAGGCTGGGGCCAGGAGAGCCACCTGGAGCCTGCCCCTCTGCCTCTGGCGGCTCGGCCTCATGCTCGCTCAGCACATGGAGGAACTCACACAGCGACGTCCCACCCCCTTTGTTCAGGGACCGTCCAGACGGAAGGAATCAGACCGTCTTTCTTCTGCAGGCGACGATGAGAGCAGCTCAGGCCGGCGTAAGCTAATGAGGGGATTGAACGGTTCAAATAAGCGAACATCCCCAGCCAGCTGGGCCCAGGGGCTCACCGGGTCCCAGGAGGCCGCGGCTCCCTCCGCTGGCACCTGTGCCTGCTCCGCCCGCTGCTGGCTCAGCCCTCCTGGGACAAGATGACCTGCAGGAACGCTGGCTTCTGTCCGTGCCAGACGCTCCGGTTCTCTGAGAGTCCCAGCGAGTCTCTGGATGGATGGTGGGTAAGCCCAGCTTTGGTCACACTGCCCGTTTCTTATGGCCAGCCCAGGTCAGAGACAAGGAAATGGTCGTTGGCCAGGCCTGTGACATGGACCTGGACCGGAGCCAGGGCTGAGGGCAGCCCCACCCAAACACCCAACAGGCGTTCCCTGTTGGCTGGGCACCGTCCTAAGCACTTTAGACAAATTAGCTCCTGTTAACCTCAGTTTACTATCTGTTTACTAATTTAGTCAGCACGTTATCCCCTTCTTATTTATTCATTTAAATATATATTTTATTGGTTTCAGAGAGGAAGGGAGAGGGAGAGAAACATCAGTGATGAGAATCATTGATCGGCTGCCTCCTGCACGCCCCCTATTGGGGATCGAGCCTGGGACCCATGCATGTGTCCTTGACAGGAACTGAACCTGGGACCCTTCGGTCCGCAAGCTGACACTACCCACTGAGCAAAACCAGCTAAGGCACATTATCTCCATCTCATAGATGGGGAAATGGAGCACAGGTGAGCGTGTGGTACCCGCCAGGCCTCACAGCTAGGGAGTGGCAGAGCTGGGATTTGAGTGACACAGACCCTTGGGCCCCAGATACTGAGCTTTTGACCATTAAGTAATTACAAAGTAGCCCTAGCCAGTTTGGCTCAGTGGATGGAGCATCGGTCTGTGGAGTGAAGGATCTGGGGTTTGATTCCAATTAAGGGCACACGCCTGGGCTGCCGGCGGGATCCCAGGTAGGGGGGTTGCAGGAGGCAGCCAATCAATGATTCTCATCATTGATGTTTCTCTCTCTCTCTCTCTCCCTCTCCCGTCCTCTCTGAAATCAATAAAAATATATTAAAACAAAACAAAACAAAAAAACCAGCAATGAAATGTCACTACAGACCTAGTAAGGTGGGCCAAAATCCGAAACACTGACACCACCAATCGCTGGTGAGGCTGAGGAGCGGCAGGGACTCTCATTCATTGCTGGCAGGAACGTGGTGTTAGCACGGGGGGGAAACAGTTTGGCAGTCTCTTGGAAAACGAAAACACTCTTACTCTACGATCCAGCAGTCACGCTCCCTGGTGGCTCCCCGAGGGAGTAACCAAACGTCGGTGCACACCAAAGCCTGCGCATGGGTGTTCACAGCAGCTTTATTGAAACCTGGAGGCAGCCAGGACGCTATTTGGTAAGGGGATAATCGGTGGTGCACCCACACCATGAGATGTTACTCAGCACTAAAAAGCCATGAGCTGCCAAACAACGAAAAGACACGGAGGAACCTCAAAGGCACACTGCTACGTTCACCAAGCCGGTTGGAAAAGGCTCTGTGTTCCGTGATTACCACTGTATGGCATCCTGGGAAAGGCGAAACCACGGAAAGAGTGAGGAGATCAGTGGTCGCCAGGAGCTGTGGGGGCGGGAGAGCTGGACAGGCGGGGCACAGAGGATGTTTAGGGCAGCGAGACTACGGGGCATCATGACATAATGGTGGGTACACCTCATTACACAGTTGTCCAAGCCCATAAAATGCACACCACCAAGCATGAACCCTAAGGCAAACTGGTTTTTGCGTGTCCATGTGTCTGTCAGGTCCATGGATTGTAACACACGTACCTCTCTGGTGGGAATGTTGGTCATGGGAGGCTGTGCACGTGTGGGGGGCACGGAGGTAAGGAAAATCTCTGCACCGTCTCTCCAGTTTTACTGTGAACTTAAAGCAGCTCTCAAAAAGTAAAATATTAAAAATAAATCCAAATAATTAATAATAATAATAATAATAATAATAATAACCTTCACTGCGGACCTTCAAAGTTCAATTGCGCCCCCAGGCCCAGCCTCCTACTGGACCGTTAGGGAAACGGGGAGAGGCCTGGCGCGCCCCCTGCGGGATGGGAGCGGGGGTGCGAGCAGAAAAGGAAAGCTGGCATCTGCTCCCCTCTCCCGTGTGCTCACACCCTGGGGTGCTCGCTGCAGCCTCTGGTCTGCAGCCTCCGCCGGGCCAGGTTGGGGCCGGGTCCCCGGGCCGCGCCCCGGGGTCGGCTGCGCGTCTGCGCTCTGACCGCACCGGGTGCCGCGGGCACGAGCGGGTGACGCCGACTCTGCGGGGCGAACTCCTCCCGCCCGGCCAGCGGCACCTCCCGGTGAGGCCGCAGCACCCAGAGGCACGAGAGCGCGGAGGCCGCCCGCGGCGCCGCCAGGGCCACGCTGGCGCTCCCTCTCCCGGAGCCCGCGCGGCCCCAGCCCCGTCCCCGCGCTCTCCCAGCGCCGCCCCGGCGGAGAGGACTGCGCGGCCCAATACCCTAGCCCCGGGGTGCGGCCGCCCCCCCGCCCGGCGGCCCCGCCCCCGCCCGGCGGCCCCGCCCCCGCCCGGCGGCCCCGCCCCCGCCCGGCGGCCCCGCCCCCGCCCGGCGGCCCCGCCCCCGCCCGGCGGCCCCGCCCCCGCCCGGCGGCCCCGCCCCCGCCCGGCGGCCCCGCCCCCGCCCGGCGCCTCCGCAGCCGCAGGGGGCGGGGCGCAGCGCGCACCACGTGGCCGCCGGAGGTGAGTAGCGGCCGGGCCGCGCGTGGGCACTCGGTGTCCGGCCCCGCTCCGGGTGGTGGTGGGGGTCGCCCCGCTTGGCCTGGGGTCCCCAAGGGCCCCGTGGACCCCTCCACTTCCCACCTCCCCCCGGACCCCGGGAGCTCCGGGCCCGGGGGGAGGATTGGCGCCTGCGGGCGCTGCGGAGGGGCGGGCGGGCGGCAGGTTTGGGGGCCCCCAGGAGGCCTCCTCGCCGCGGAGGACCGGTCAGTGCAGGGCCCTCACGGCCGGGCTCCGTCCTCCAAAAGGAGGTCCATCAGCCGGCCTGGGGCTCCGTGCCGGCGCGGCCCGTGGCTGCACCGTGAGCGCCACCGGGGAGGGGCGGCGGCCAGACCGAAGCCCCACGGCGGGAACACTGCCCAGCGGGCGGGGCCCCCTGCGCCTGGGCCGGGCGGAGAGCGCCACCTTCTGCCGGGTCCGGGCCGGCACCGCCGCCGCTCCCGTTCCAGCCCCAGTCCTGACAGCTCAGTGTGCAGGGCTCCCTGCAGGAGCTGTGCCCTTCTGGGTGCTTTTGCCCAAAGACCCCCTTTGGGATGAATTCAGAGCCACATCTCACTTCCCACGAGACTGGGAGAACCATGGAAAAGGAATTGGACAAAAGCTTTCCACATCTCTGTGTATTCCTTTGAGTCCACTAAAGGACCTTAAGGGAAGCATCGGGGCCTCCTGAGAGAGAACGCACTCTGGCCAGAGCACGCAGGATCCTTTGCCCAGCAGGTTGGAGGAAGCGCAGAGCTGGCAGTGCAAATGGCCCTGGTGCCCTATGAGGAGTCGGCGGAAATGGGGTTGCAGAAATTCCACAAGCCTCTCGCCACCTTCTCCGCAAACCACACCATCCAGATCCGCCAGGACTGGAGGCAGCTGGGAGTCGCAGCCGTGGTCTGGGACGCGGTAAGCAAATCACTGATTTTTTAAAGTAAAATCACCATGCTCAATTTTTAAATATTTTCACAACCCCATCCCCTCCAAAAATACTCTACCCGCTAGAATCACTTTCCTGATCGTCTTCCCCAAAAGAGACTGCATTGTAAAGGTGGGTAAAGGAAAGTTGAGGGAAGTTAAAATAATGCACAAAGGATATTGCAAAATGATAAAGCCCAAAGTGAAGGTCCTGTGTTTTCTTTTTTTAAAATATTTTTTTAAATTTATTTCAGAGAGGAAGGGAGAGGGAGAGAGAGAAACATCAATGATGAGAATCACTGATCAGCTGCCTCCTGCACACCCCTTGCTGGGGATCGAGCCTGCAACCCCTGACTGGAATTGAACCCGGGACCCTTCAGTCCACAGGCCAATGCTCTCTCCTTTAAGCTTGCAGGCCTGGTCCTCCCTACTACTCTCCCCTGCAGGCCTGGGTCCCCCCAACTGCCCTTCCCTGCAGGAAGTATTAAGGAAGTCAGAGGCACATTTAGGAATAAAAATCAGTATGTGTAACTGAGTACTACCTCCAGGAACCTAGTCTAAGGTAACTAACTACATGGAAAGTATTCCTAGGCCAAGCAGTAAGGACAGACAGTAGCGAGGAGTGGGTGAGCCTCCTCAGTGCTCACCGAGAGGAGCGAGTGCTCACGAGAGCAGCAGTAAGTGGCCATGAGAACAGACGTTTAAAACCGTGCCAGCAGTGCCCAGTGCGCCCGGAGGATGGTATGCGGATGCCCACTCACACGCCAAGTGTCCAGAGGTGGGCCGGGCCAGGGCTCCTGCCGGGTGGTGACAGGGAGGCACGCGGCCCCGGGGGCCTCGGCTGCTGCTCCGCTTGTCTTGGAAACCGGCTTAGACTCTGGACATTCCCTTAAGCAGAATCACAGAGCCTGCCCGTGCCAGGGAGTCTGGGGAGCCTCGAGTGTGAGCAGTGACCCCGTGTCCTGTAGGCAGCGTCGTGGGCCACTGCCGTCCCCATCGGGGCCTGCGGGACACTGGGCCGCGCTTGCTCTGGGCGGTCGCCTTGGTCTCCTCCCGCAGCACCTGCGTCTGTGCGTGCTGATCGCCTGGGTGTTGACCCTGACAGCGGGAGAGGGGAGCCAGGACGTCTCCTGCCGGCGCCCCTCACGATGACGTCAACCCCAGCACTCGCTGACGTCACCACCACCCCTTGTGTTCGGACGCAGGCCGTCGTCCTCGCCACGTACCTGGAGATGGGAGCCGTGGAGCTCCGGGGCCGCTCCGCCGTGGAGCTGGGTGCCGGCACGGGGCTGGTGGGCATCGTGGCTGCCCTGCTGGGTGAGTGTGGCCGCGGGCCATCCTGGGTGGATGTTCTTTCTTTACAGCCTGTTATTGTCTATTTCCTCACTTGCGTGCAGGCTCTGGGAGGTGGGGGTTTTTGTCCGGTGGCCACTCGAATGTTTGTGGAGTTGACAGACGTGCCGGGGCAGTGGTCAGCCGTCGTCAGGATCCTATTAAGACTCCTGGAACGCCGAGCGGTCAGAAGCAGAGGAGGCTTACATCGGAGAACTATTGAAATGAACCCCGAGATGATGTGCAAATGACTAGATCGCCCCATATGGCGAGCACAGTGCTCGCTGACTGTTAAAAATCCAGAGCCCTACCCGGTTTGGCTCAGTGGATAGAGCGTCGGCCTGCGGACTGAAGGGTCCCAGGTTCCATTCTGGCCACGGGCATGTACTTTGGTTGTGGGCACATCCCCAGTAGGAGGTGTGCAGAAGGCAGCTGATCAATGTTTCTCTCTCATTGATGTTTCTAGCTCTCTCTCCCTCTCCCTTCCTCTCTGTAAAAAATCAAAAGAAATATGTATTTCCAGAGATAGCACTAGCCAGCTTGGTTCAGTGGATAGAGCATCAGCCTGAGGACTGAAGGGGTGTGGTCAAGGGCATATGCCTGGGTTGCAGGCTCGATCCCCAGTAGGGGGCATGCAAGAGGCAGCCGATTAATGATTCTCTCATTATGGATGTTTCTCTCTTCCTCTATCTTCCTTTTGAAATCAATCAACATATATACTGCATATAAGAAATCAGAGGTAAAATTCTGAGTCGAGCTGGGAAAGGCTGTCTGATTTCGGGAGAGATGAAGGATCACCGCCTCCCCTCCCAGGCAGCACGCTGTCTAGCAATGGACAGACAAAGCGGTAGGTCCGGCCTGGTAACATCTCACAGCCCCACACTCAGGATGGTAAATGTCAGAGTGAATTACATGCCGTCCTCATCTAGTGTTGCAGCTCAAGATAAGAAACCTTGGGTACAGCTGCCCCTGAAACGGTGCTTACCACAGCAGCTCCGTAAACCGGGGGAGTGCCCGCGAAGATAACAGACTGAAGAAGGGGGCCGATGGGAACTTTAGGAGAGAATGAAACAGAATTTCAAATTCCAGGACAGATAGGGCCAAAATTAAACAGGATCGATTACACATGCCATGTTGTCATTCTAATGTAGACGAACAGGGTCAGTTCAGTGCTGAGTTTACGTGGAGCTTTATTTTAAGGGTTCAGCCTCTCTCACATATTTTAGTTCCAAGAATTGGTGGGTCTTTTGTTCACAGTCAAAACCCACAAGGAAGAGATTAGTAAAATACTGCCTCACTAATTTTACACACTGCATGTGGAAACCTAGCACTTAGCGGACATGCTCCCACGTTTTGACCTACAGCACGTTAGTACAGCCTAGTAATTTCTTTTCAGGTTGCGAGAGAATGATTACTTAGAAAGTTACAGAGGTAGCAGAAGTGAGCCAGCTGGGCTGCGCGGGCTCAGGAAACAAGTTGCAGAGGCAGGAGAAGTCCCTTGGATCTTAGGAGAGAGAAAGGCAAAAGTAAAAGGCCTGAGGGTCTGGGGGGTGCGGGCAGGGAGAGGAGGAAGGGAAAGGCAGGGATATGCCTCTGAGAGCCAGAGACTACACCACCATCTAGTAACTCCTAAGTTTACCATTTTTCAATAATCGCGCGCGCGCTCGCTCGCTCTCTCTCTCTCTCTCTCTCTCTCTCTCTCTCTCTCATAACATAAATACATATAGATTGGCTGCTTTCTAACAACATGAGAAGTAGACTAGGATTTCTTTCTTTTTTTTTTTAAAATATATTTTATTGATTTTGTACAGAGAGGAAGGGAGATAGAGAATTAGAAACATCGATGAGAGTCATCGATCAGCTGCCTCTCGCACAACCCCTACTGGGGATATGCCCGCAACCAAGGCACATGCCCTTGACCGGAATCGAACCCGGGACCCTTCATTCTCCAAGCCGACGCTCTATCCATTGAGCCAAACCGGTTTTGGCGGACTAGGATTTCTTAGTAGCCAGTTAATCTCCTCCTTGGTTCTTTTTAAAGCTTTAATCCCAGAAAGTAGCCCTCCCCTTGTTTCTGCTATCTTGTCATCTTCATAACCATTTGCTCCCAGATTTTTCATTGTGGGATTCCGTTTCACCCAGAAGCCTCCTGACTCCAGGACTGCAACCTAATGAATGACACGTAGAGGTAGACACCTCTGGAGGGAGGGCCCCCTCTGCCTGCAGAATGGAGAAGCCCCCGCTTGCTGTCATGGGGACCCTGCACTTTCTAAGGTTCGCGTTTACCGTAGGCTGTGCAGGAGCCGCCACTGGCCATCGTTCTAATGGGCAGCCACCCCGAGGGGCATGACCTGCACATGAACCCCACCCTGCCCTTTAACTGGACCCGAGACCTGTTAGTTGTACTGATGGGACATTACTCTCTCTCTCTGTCCCACGTTCTAGGTGCTCAGGTGACCATCACGGATCGGAAAGTAGCACTAGAATTTCTTAAGTCAAATGTTGAAGCCAACTTACCTCTGCATGTCCAGCCCAGAGCCGTGGTGAAGGAGCTGACCTGGGGGCAGGATCTGGGGAGCTTTTCACCCGGAGAGTTTGACTTGATACTTGGAGCTGATATCATCTACTTAGAAGAAACGTTCGCAGACCTTCTTCAGACCCTGGTGCATCTCTGTGGCAGCCAGTCCGTGATTCTCTTAGCCTGCCGGATCCGCTACGAACGGGACAGCAACTTCCTAGCGATGCTGGAGAGGCAGTTTACCGTGAGTAAGGTGCACTATGATCCTGAAAAAGACGTCCATGTTTACAAAGCCCAGAAGAGGAGCCAGAGGGAGGGCTTGTAGTTGGCTGCAATTTATAGGAATGTTGTCATTAAATGTTGTCAATGAAGGTCTTAGCTGGGGGAATCTAACCATGAAATGGCTTACTGAACAAAGAGTCTAACCAAAGGTTCTCGAGGAACAAACTGCTGTTTGTAGTCGTTATCTCACTCACTCTGAAACCCAGTTAACATTCAAAAGTGTGAGCTGTGGTCCCTGTTGTTTCTGTATCCCATATGCTCCCTCCTGGTAAGCGGTTTTCACTGGTACCGTGAAGGGCTGGCGTAACAGCACCTTCAAAGCAGTGAGCCTGTTTTCTTTAGTGAGATCCTACGTCATGCAAATCACTTTGTACACATTCCGAGATACATGTTGAGCTCATTTTTCTAATTTTCTGAATATAAGACAAGGTTTAACATACATTCCCTGAGCTGTTAGTGCTGTTGAAACCTTTTGTCTGCCCATTTCAGTCTTAAATACTTTCCGTTGTTTGAAGATTGGGACGCAAGTTTCCTACAGTCTCATAGCATGCTTTTTGGATTACTTTCAGCTGAGGTATATGAGCAAAGGGAATCAGGAAAAATAACGTTTTGAAAGCATGCGAAACCTTGGACCTCCATGGGCTGTGACTAGGTTATCGTCTTCAGATCAAAAGCCTTAGCTTTTCCCTTCACCTCTCCCTTCCTCAGATGTTTTTGTTCTTTCTTGGGCTTCCCCTGCCTCCTCAGAGTGCACAGGATGACATTGAACAAGTTTTAAATCTCACCCCGCCGTGAGAGGTTCCTCTCCAAGAAGTTCCTCCTGGAGTGCACTTGTCACTGCTTGTGTAGGTCCCTCAGATCACTGAGCCTCCTGAGGGCCACTAATGCTCTGCCTTTATTTTGCCTCCCCGGTGTTTGGTAGTAAATTTGTTGAGTGAAAAAGATGCATTCCATTTAGACAAATTTATCTTTGGGTTAAATGATGGCTACATTGTTTCATAATTACCTTTGTGATAGACTTGATGAATGAACCAACATTCCCCCATCCTTTTTTTATGATGTAAAAGCTTAACATATGTAGACCACAAAATCATTATCGTCTCCGTATGGTATTTGATGTTATAGATTTTCTTTGTAAAACATCAGAAGCAAGACCTCCTTTTAACCTTTGAAAGAGTATTTGGATATGAAAATACCTGCTACGTTATTTTCTGCATATTGTAAGTAGAGGATTTAATAAAGGTGAATTAAAGCCTTAGCCGGTTTGGCTTAGTGGATAGAGCGTTGGCCTGCAGGACTGAAGGGGCCCAGGTTCGATTGCTGGTCAGGGCACATGCCCAAATTATGGGCATGATACCCAATGGGGGGCATGCAGGAGGCAGCCGATCAATGATTCTCATATTTGATGTTTCTGTCTCTCCCTTCCTCGCTAAAGTCAATAAAAATATATTTAAAAATAAAGGTGAATTAAAATTTTTGAGTATTCTGTGATGTGTCAGTTCAACACAATTCTGATAGATGCCCAAGAAATAGAAATACCCATTGTTTACCAAATCCATAAAATGCCAGTATTGTGCATGAATGTGGTGTTTTAAAACGAGTAACAAGAGCCCTGCAATATCAGCACTAACAAAAAGCCAATCACATTCAGGCATGCTATTAGAAATCATTGTATTCACCTCCTTTGCTTTAAAATCCCTCAACTTTGGCCTGGCTGGCATGGCTCAGGTTGAGCATCGACGTAGGAACCAGAAGGTGATGGTTCAATTCCTAGTCAGGGTATATGCCCAGGTTGTGGGCATGTAGGAGGCAGCTGATCAATGATTAATGATTCTCTTCACTGATGTTTCTCTCCCCCTTTCTGAAGTTAATAATATATACATAACTACACACACACACACACACACACACACACACACTTTGAATGATATATGTAAAATGATTTGGGGTGGAGAGCTCTACCAAGAAAGCACTGTTAGGGCTGTTTTACATTTTCATAAAGCATTATAAGCCCTGGCCAGGTAGCTCAGTTCACTCATGTCTGTTGTCCCTATAAAATCCCCCTTTCACTCTCAAAAATGTCTGTCTGTATAATAAATTATGTGGTGCCCACTGTTCATAGAATAAAAAAAATAAAGTCAGAAAATTCCTTTAATACAATGGTAGGTGTAACAGGCTTCATAAACACATCGTGTACTTAAGAATAAGTGCAACTGTTGTTTTCAGAAACTGAGTCAATAGTATGAATCTTTTATTCATATGCTTTAAGCAAGGAGCAGATGAACACATTCCCTCCTTTTATAGGATCACAGAACTTCAGAATCATAAGGGGACCTGAGAAGTTAGCAATTATTGTTCTTCCAATGCAAACATGCGTTTTATGACATCAGAGAGAGTTGGTCACATGTCTCCCATGGGTGGTCTCAATAGAGCAGTAACATCTCCGAATCTTCAAATAGGCACTGATCAATCTTACTGCACAAAGAAATCTTGTGCTAAAAATTAGGAAGACAGGAAAATTAACTGAAGATATGTTCTTGTTGCTTGAATTAGTTTCCTGTTGCTCTGCAACACAAGCTTGTGATATATTCTAACATAACGTTTGCTCATTTAACAAAAGTAATAAACATAAGTCCAAGAAAATATAGCTTAACACGACTAGCAAAAAACTAGAGACCCCATCCCCAAAAAAGAGACTTTGAGTTTTTAAAAGCATGTTTTATGTGACTGCACATGAATGTGTGTAAAAGGGCAATGACAGTTTTTACCACAAAGATTACAGTAAGAAAAAGCACTTTATGACAATATTTCACAAATTCACAAGGATCACTTTAATATACAAAGCAATGCTACCATTCTGAACACAAACCAGCTATGTACATAGTGTTAATAAAATGCTTTATAATTCAGTACATTTTATTTCTTTACACAGATAAAGCACAAAAAGATTTAAGTAAAAAAATTAAAACAGGGATGTTTCTAGAATGTAGGAAATTGTATTAGAAATGTATTTTCCTCATTATAGTTCTTTATTTAGTATTCAACTCCAATAGCAATATCAGAGTTGAAAATCAATACCCTGTTTTGTGCTGATAATTTTTGGGGGAGGTATTTGTTACCCCAGTCCTCAAAGGAAAACCAAAAAAAGCAAACACCTTTCTCTCTAGAAACTTCCCTGATTATTGTTTCTAAAAATTTTCAAGTGATACATCCAGGTTAGGATAATTCCTTTTTGGGGTGGGGATGATAACCAACATGTGGACAAATCAGTTAGGAACAACTTTACATTGGAAAACTGCTAACTAGCACTCTTGTTTGCCACCCCTAATAAATCTATACTCACAGAAAAATGCTGACAAATTATGTCCCACTTTTAATATAAATAATTTTATTACACACACAAATTGGAGTGACACCTGGATAAAAATACATCTATAAAGCATTTACCGATTCAGTTTTAAAAACATAAGAAAATAAAACCTCCCAAACACAATGCTAGATCATTTCACTTGGCCAACTAAGCTAAGTTGCAGGGATTTTCTCCCGTCCTTACCAATTTTTCAACTATCTCTGATTTACTTTCACATCTCTGAAATGCTTCTCAGACAGAAGCTTGGAAATACTATACTTCTGTAGGCAAATATTAAATAATGCCTGTATAAAGTAGGTAACATTTGAATTCCCTACTGCTTGACCCTTTCAAAGACATTTTCTGAGGACTGTTCCTTTTCCTTTTTCTTGCTGGTGAGAATTAAAAATGTATCGTCATACCAAGCTAGGACCTGCACCCACAGTACCAGAATGCAGACAGGTCAATATTTTCTCTGTGCTAAACAACTCTGCCTGTTTTATATTATCAATTTTGCTTCACAGGCTTTGTTCTACTCCCCCTCCCCCATTTTTATTTTTTAAAAAAAATAAATTTCAAGCTAAAACACCTGAAATATAATCCCTCCATTTAAACGTTATCTGGTCCCTCTTGAAGTCTGCCCCTGAGGACACATACAAAGGCTTAAGCTACATTCACTAATCAGTAAGAACTTACCATGAGCATGAGACAGATGGAACTGCAGCACCCTGTTTGATTTATTTGAAATTCTTCCATACTGACTCAGCTTCAGGGTATGTTCAACCCCGCAGGGATTAGTGCCTCTCTTAGCCAATGATTCTAGAAAGTCAAGGAAACCAGTTCCTAGTACATACAGTGACTGTGCAGTCAACTTAAAAAAGTCAACAAATCAACATTAAAAGTATTCAAGATGTATGAAGTCACTTCAAGTAAGCCACTCACAAGTCTGGTTGTGCTTTGTACAACGGAGTGAGCAAATTTTATCCCACCTCTCTCCACGCAAAGGCTTACTAAGCACGCTTCTTTCTCCCTCCGCATCTGAAATCAGTCAAATTTAGGCAGCATCTCTTTGATGTTAACCAGGCCAATTTTAAGTGAAGTAAATTTAATCAAATGATTACATGTGGCCTCCACTATGACAATAATTGCCTTGAAAATTCTTTTACTATTCTGGACAAATCCATGGATACCTTGGCATTCTATAGACAGTGTTAATGTTGGGGTGAGGATAAGACACTCATTTAAAATCGGAAATATTTATTCACTTGAGTTGCTTTTCTTTCCATCTTTATCCAAGATGAAAAAGAAAAGGGCCTCATCTTCTAGTTAATGGGGCTAGACAAATCTAATTTACTGGTATTTTCCTTTTACAACTATAAGGCTAGACTGTAGGTGCTAAAATATTTTAACCAATGAAAAGTTTTCATTTTTAAAAAGTCCCATTATTTGAAGGAGAAAGACATAAAAAGTCAGTTGACAATTAATTGATGAGGGAATTTCTCAAGTTGATGATACCCAAACCGGGTAATTTTTAAAAGTGCAAGTTATACCAAACATTTACAAAGAATATAATGTCAATATAATCCAAACAAATATACAACTTTTGTATTAAGTCAATGGGAAATAATATACCAACAGTCTTCAGGGCTACAAAGGCAATAAAATAAAGCCTCTTGAAAATAACTAAAAATGTA